AAAATGAGGTCAAGAGTGTGAATCATCACGGCCGAGGGGCAAAAAAAAAAAAAAAAAGCTTCCATCTTTTCAAATTTAGCCTCATTTTCTTGTGCTTCTGCTGAAAATAAATTGGAGGACAAAAAGTCCTTGTGTGTGTGTGTGTGTGTGTGTGTGTGTGTGTGTGTGTGTGTGTGTGTGTGNTCCGACATTAAACAGAGCCCGACAGAGGAGGGAGGGGCGGGGAGGCTGTCGCCGTGCAGCGCTTCAAGAGCTGACCTGCGTCTGACCTCAAAGTGCACAAGCTTCAAACTTTAGCGTTGGCTGCGATTTTGAAGCTGAAATCGCGTTCGGTGTGAACGCACCATAACTGATGCAATTTGGACCAAGCCAAGCCTGGGTAGTTTTAACTTAGCAGGGTTGGGCTCGCAGTTTGACTGAGCAAACAATGTCTTCTACACAAAACTTGAGTTACAATTATGAATTTGTGCAATTTGAGCTACTAAAATGTTGAGTTAATTCAAACTTTTTTGACCTAAAATTGTTCAACGCAGTCGAGCTGCAGTGGCTCGGTGGTTAATAGGATTGCATTCCTTCACACAAAGCAACGATTACAACTATCGATAACCAAAAAGATTTTCGGTGTAATTATATAAAAAAAACTGGGTAAACTTAGTAAATTTCAGAGAAGAACAGTCACATAAAAGTTTATAAAATGGCGTTTGCATGAACCGCCATGAATTCTTTATGACAGAAGTGTTAAAACAGCTGAAATCCACTTTAGAACTGAATCTGCTTTGACTAAACGTATAGCTCAACCCAAAGAGAAATCCTGTCTGATAAAGCTCTAACTGCTGTCTACAGCTTTAAGGAACTGGCTGTTGATAACAACTCAGCAGAATCCCACTTTAAAAGAAAGATCCAAACCATCCCTTTAAATGAAATACTAAGATTGCATCATTTTGTTCATTTTTAAAGAAGGAAAACAGAGCAGTTATTGCTTGATGTGGTTAGGTGTGTAATGTTGCAACATGGCAGGTGTGAGTGTTTCTAACCTCCTCGTGTGTGTGTGTGTGTGTGTGTGTGTGTGTGTGTGTCGTCTGCGTACAGGCTCAGGCGGGAAGTTGGGGGGAATGGGCGAGCACGAAGAGAAGGGAAGGCAGGGAATTTTTCCTGACATCTGACGGAGAAAGTGGGTCACGCTCGGCGCTGCTAGCCTCCTCCTCCACGGCGGCTATTGAATTAATCACGCTTTACGCTCGGCTGGACAACGCTGTGCACAAAATGGCTCCCCCCCCCCACCTCCCCGCCTCCTTCGCCTCCCGTCCCTGCCATGGAAAAACTCGAGCGTTCGCTCTTGAAGAACTTGAATCTGGAGTCCTCCACTTGGGTTCTGAGAAACAATTAGGTGCTCGCTCTGTTTGTGGAGCCATCATGGTGGAAAATAAGAGACTGTGGTCTGGTTCTGTGTCAAACTTTCGCTTCTTTATGACGCTGGGAAGTTTTAAAAATACACAAAGGCAGAATCTGGGTGCAAGATTTCATTGAAAGAACATTGATCTTGTTCCTCATAGTTTGGTAGATAAACAGTGATGAATATTTGCTGTGCCAAAGTTTTAAACATGTGACCTGTTTGCACTCAGTGTGGTTTGGGGATCACTCTAAACTGCCACACCAGATCCCTGCTTCAGGCTATGTGACGAAAAGGAACTTGATTTAAGCCATTATTATGTTTGCTACTGTGGCAGCCATCTTGAATTAGATACTTTCAGAAAATCATGAACATCATAACTCATAGATAAATTTAACTAGAAGCTAAAAAGACCAAAGCCATAGCTTAAGCAAAAATAATCAAAACCATAGCTAAAAGCTACAGTTTTGAAAATGTATCTAAGAGCAAAAATTTGAAAGAACAGCTAAAAGGTACATCTAGCAAAACTGCCAGTAAAATCCAAACCTAACAAAAGCCATAACTCAAAGCTAAAATAGGCAAAACCTTAGTTAGAAGCTAAAGTATGCAAAATCACAGCTAAAATAAAACTAAAAGCAAAAAAACTAGGGTGGTGTTATAACAAAACCATAAAAGCTAACTTTACGTTAAAAATGCTGCCAAAAATTAGATGCTAAAAGCAAAATCGTGCAAAATTGTTGCTAAAAATGGAATTTAGCAACATCGTAGCTAAAAGCTTTAGTGAATAAAAACTGTAGCTAAACTGAAGCTAAAATAAAAAAAACTACTGCTAAAAATTTAAATTAGCAAGTTAACTTGATTTAGCTTTTATCAGCTATTTTTTGCATTTGTTTTAATGTAACTTTTGGCAACTTTTTTTTCTTTTTACCAATTTTAGCTTTTAACAACTACGTTTCAAATATTTTGCCTTAATTTTTTTTGTTTTAGCTTTTAGCTATGGTTTTGGAAATATCAGTATTTAATTATTGGTTTGCTTATAGAAACTACCTACAGTTAACTTACCTACAGCTGCTAATTTTATCTCAGAGCAATTGTCTTGTATATTATTGCTTTTAGCTATATACTTTTTATTTTCAACTTCAAGCTAATTATTCTAGTTGGTAAAACTTGAACATGACAATAAGGCATTGTAGCTCAAACTGTAGATTAAATGTAAAATGAGCAAAAGCTTGGTTAAGTTTAAATGAAAATAAATTATAGCTAAAAGTAAAAATTAGCTAGGCATTTGCAAACAACTAAAATTAGCAAACCAGTAAGTAGAAACTCAGGTGTTTAAAACCAGAGAAAAAGCTGAATGAAGCAAAACTGTAGATAAAAGCTAAGCTATTTATTAGTTAAAAACTAAAGGAGCACAGGAAAGCAAAAGCAGAGCAAAAACAAATAAGGATTTAAGAAACAACTTGAATGGCTCTCAGAGTATTTCAATGAGGAAAATAATTATGGTTAAATCAGTTAAAAGCATAATAAACACTTAAAAATGGCACACTTATTTACATTAAGCCAAATATTTTTATATAGAAATGGTTCAAATAACAGAAACTATGCAGATTTAACTTGATTGCAACAAATAAACTATGAACAAGAAAACAGTTGCGTGAACGCTGACTCAGCGTTTGCACAAATAACTGTACATTTCTTCCTTTAGTTCAGAGAAACCATAGTTGATTCTGGACTCGACGATGAGGAGCAGAGAGAAAAACCAAATCCTGTAAAGGAAATCATTAAATGGGCGTCCGGTTGATTTAATCTAGGCCAAAGCTTCCATCATCTGCTCCATCCTAATCCACACATCTACAGATACAGCAGGGCATTATTTTACAACACATTCATGTGAAATACATTCTGCAGCTCCACAGCAGGACGCAGGAGGTTAGAAAAATATAAAATAAGTAAAAAAAAAAACTGCAAGACGAGCTTCGGTTGATTACCTTAAATGTTAGAGTAAAAGCTGGTTAAAAGAATAAAGCCAGATTATAAAAGTTTTGCATTTCTTTCATTCACCACCATAAAAGGTGTGTAATCGTGTGTGTCAGTGTGTCTGTTAGCAAAACTTTTTCATGAATTGGTTGGATTTTACTGAAACGCTCAGAATGTAATGACAGGATGTGCATCAAGCTCCACCTGATTAGGTTTTGAAGTCAGCTGGATTCAAGATGGCGGCCTAGCCGTCCTCTAGTAGATATTTATTTTGAATAAATCCAACCTTAACGTCCTCCAACCATGTCCGTAAACCATAAAAAAAGATGATTTATATTTTTTATTTTGTTTTATTTTGCACGCGTTTTCACTTTCATCATTTAAGCTAAAGAAAGGATAAAACAGTTGATACGCCAGCCCGGGAGAAAATGTGCCGGAGATGTTTGTGCTTCAAGTAGTGGCAAACAAAAGGGAAATTAGTGTGCATGTAGGGCAGCGGGGAGGTGGGGCGTAAAGGGGGGCAAAGGGTGACCTCCATGTTGGCGTTAAAGGATCTTCTCACTTTAAAGGAAAGCAAAGTTTGGAGGTGAAGAAAGGAGTTTGTTTCCTGGAACATGTGCAGCTCCTGTCTCGTCTGGCTTTTGTTGTATGCGACGAAGGGGTGGGGGGGTGTGTGGGGGGGGGGTGCGTCCGCCCACCCAGTCGGCCTTCCTATGTAACCGCTATGACAATCGTCTGAAGAGCTGTCGGCCCGTATCAGCAGCTCAGCATCCTGACAGCTCAGCCAGGATCACAATTAGAGCCGAAACCCTCGACCACAACCCGTCTGGTTGAAGGGTTCATCAAGTCGGGACCACCTCACACGAGCTTAAAAAACACTAATGGGGGTCCAGCGTTACAAGCATCGCACTGTGTCGTGAATGTGGCGCTAAGTCGGCCATTTTAGATTTGCCACGATTTGTAATATGAGATCACTGTTTGTCACAAAGTCATGGCAGAGCTTTCCCCCCACAAACAGCAGAGCGTGCAAATCAAGAGCCCCTTTTTTTTAAACTTAAGCCCATTTCATCACCTTACAGAGTGTATTTCCAAGACGTTTAATCTCAACGTCAAACATTATGCATTTCATACAAGCAAAGCTTAACATCAGCGAAACTGATACCGCTTTTGGTGGCCGTCAGCAGCGCTAATATTGGTGTGACGATAATTGGGATAATGATCGCTCAAGAAGGAGTTGACGTATCATTTCCACTGACCCTTGTGTATTTAAAAAAAAGCAGTTCTGCTGTTAATTCCTAAACAATAGGATTGATCATGCTTAAAATGAAGACGATGATCTCCTAAACAATGACATGCAGAACAACAGTCCTGGGAGCAGAATCGACTGACCGTAAAATGAAATATTCATCAAATTCAGGAGAACTAAAAAATGAAAACGTCACGCTGATAAAACTAGTTGTTAAGTTCCGTCATGTAAGTCCTGGCTACATTACCAGACTGATCAATTATTCATAAAATCCAAGTTTTCTGTAGTTTTAAACCACTAAAAGTCCCAAAAAATCAGGACTCAAAAACATTATTTCTACTAAAATTAAAATAGTAGAATTAGAGAAAATGAATTGTAAGGGATTACCTTTGTGTCGAGCAGAAGCTGACGACCACTTTCGTCGTTGGAAGATTAAAAATCGCAAATGATTTCTTGCTTTCGTTCCGATGAGGGGAAAAAAAGAGGAAACTCTGCCGCCCTATTGGTCGGCGGCGCTGCGTCACGTGAGCGACCGAAGAGACGCGTGACAGAGCGCAGTTTGTGTCGCTGATGTTCGGGGTTATTTGTAAATAAGCTGTAGGACATGGGGGAAGTTTGGGTGACCCTCTTCGGCCCCCCTTTATCTCCTCATCTGCAGCGAAAAGAGGACATGCCCACTGAGGCACATGGGCATTGTGGGGGCACGTCTGATAGTGGGAAGGGTCGGATCAGAACTGTAGCCTCGGGGGCATTAAGTGAGCTGAGAGAGGGTCCCCCTGAAATCCACAAATCTGTGTCACTGTTGGCGTCAATAAACAAAAAAAATACTTCAGCTGATAGAAAACCCAACCACGCTGGACGAGAGATTGGTTTTAGTCGGAAAAATGTCTCCTTATGATGACATTTATGGTTGTAATCTGCTCCTCTCAAAGTGTGTGCGCAGATTACAGAGCTCCCATCCAGATTTTTTCCAATCCAGCACAAATCCAGCCCTCATGTCGGACGGACAGTTGTGCCAGAGCTTATAATCTGGCGTTCATCAGGACTGGACTGCAGAAGGGTTCAGGAGAAAGCAGCCTGGATTAGGGGCAGCACAGACAATAAAGAACAGGTTTCTCCTCACTGTTCATTGTTTTGGTTTATAGCACAGATGCTCCTGTTTTAACTGAAAGGCCTCCATCTTAGTTTTAGTTTGTGGTGGGCAGAAGTTTCCATCCTCTCATCAGGGGGCTTGAATGTCCTGTTGTTGCAGGCTTTAACTGATTGATCTGAATCATTCTTGTTCCAGGGTAGGATGTTCATACGTCAGTGATGTTCAACACCAAATACTGGACCGACAAGTCTGAATTTGAGAATTTTCTTTCATTTGTTCAGGGTCACGCATGTTATAGTTTTAAATGATCAAATTTTTAAAACTCTTCTAAAAACATATTTTAATTACTTTGCTTTTGAGACATGCTCTCTTTCTATTTTACTTTTCTTTTGTTGTTTTTCAGTATCTTAATGTTGTTTTAACGGTTTTTATTGGTTTTATACCCCTGTCCTGAGACAGGACTTGTTATGATATCAATCCGAACAACCCTGTCCATCTGTGAACAATTGCTAAATGCCACAACTGCACCTTCTCATAACTAGGGGCACTAAGAAAATCCATCAGGTCAAAGCTCATTTTTAAACACAGTTACAACAGTTTATCAAATATTGTGCTTGTCTGCAGCTCAGGAAGAAGATCCCGGACGAGCCCCCACTTGTTGCTCCACGGGTGTGCCAGAGAATCAACAGAGGGGAGAAGAAGGGCCAGCCCTCCAGGTGAGCTTCCTTTTATAGGTGTTAAATTATGGTTGGTCCATTCAATTTCTTCATCCATTCAGAGCTTAAGGTTCTAAAGTGGCACTAGCCTGCGGGAAAAACAGTCTGCCAGACATGTAACAGTGATATTAATATGTCCTCTTGTCCAAGGTTTTAAGAGCTTGATTATATAAAGATTCAAGGGGCTACAGAATTATTTTGTTGGCTTGAGACCATCATGAGACACAAAAATGTGACAGAATCATTGTAAGTAAAGTACGTAAAATTTTATTTACAGTATATAGCGCCTTTCGCAGAAATAAATTTACAAGGTGCTGTACAAACAGTTAAGAACACCCGTTCAAGAAGACACACATGACAAACATGGGGGAACAGGTAAACAAGTCATGCAGCAACAGAGACAGACAGTTGTGCCACCTTTAGAGACAGTTGCGCTACCTTTGAAGACATTGCGTAAAATAAAGTTTTTCATGCATCTAAAATGATTGAATTTCTGATACATTTAAAGTTTGCAAGGTTGTACCCGTACAAGGGCATGGGGTCAAACATCAGGGTCATAAGTAAGCCCTTTGTTAAAACCCTGTCTGTGCTCTAACTTGACATCCAGGTTTCATATCATTTTTGATCCCTAGGTTGTCACTATCTGTTTATCCATACAACCCATTCTCACTCCCAAGTCGTCACATAGTGACGCTTTGGCAAGGTTCCCTGTACGTCCGATTTTGACGCGCAGGGTACCCCCGTCACGTCAGTTACTGACGAGATGGGGCGGAAGCTGTTGTCATATTTTCAGAAAGTGTATAAAATGCGCAAAAACGACCGTTCCAAAGCCTGAAATTACCTTTGTTCACTTTAGACATCCTGTCTCTGACCGTAGTAGGTAAAATTAACCATTTTTAGAAAATGTACGAAATTCAGGTGAACATGTTCTGAAGCCTAAAATGACCTAATATTCACCATGGACATCCTACCCCTGATCCCAGTACCTAAACTTAACCATTAATCCTGATCCCTCATGTTAACCTCAGACCCCCGACCCAAAGACCCCTGGTGGCGCAACCCGGAAAAGCCGCGGGCGTCAAGGACTGACGCGAGGGGGGTACCTGATGCGTCAAAATAAGACGCAGAGGGAACCTTACCTTAAACGTCAATATGTGACGAGTTGGGAGTGAGAATGTGTAGATCCATAAGACAGTACCATAGAGATCCTACAGTATAATAAAGTAACAGTGCATCTTTGTCACGTAATGTGATTAACTGTTGCAACTGTTGCCATAGCCAGGAAGAGCAAGCGGCTAGATTTAGAATTGTTGTAGATGCTGGCAAATTAGCAAACAATAAGGGCTGGTTGTGTAAAAATGTTAATGACTATTTATGAGAAATTTATTATTAATAATATATTTGAATGCATATTAGCTATCCAATGTGTATAAACCTGTAAAAATGCCAAAAAGCTGTGTGTTACAGATCTCTCAACCTAAGCAGTGTTGTATAAAGTATCTCAAAGTGATACTTGAGTAAAAGTACAAGTATCTTATCATAAAAATACTTTGGTAAAAGTGAAAGTCTTCTCTAAAAATATTACTTGAGTAAAAGTCTTAGTATCTTATCATAAAAATACTTTGGTAAAAGTGAAAGTCTTCTCTAAAAATATTA